AAAGAAAGAACCGAATTAGATATTTGGACTTCCTGGTTACTTGGAAAAGAAAAAAAACTCCGTAGCGAGCGATCAATTAGTCGAGCCGCTGTAATAGCATCATAACTGGGCTTGCCTTCCCGTTTCGTAAAAACATTAGGAATCCTTCCTACTGAATAAAATTTCTCCTCAAAAGTGATGGTTAAAGGAAAAAAAGAGTTAACACTTTTGGTTAATTGTTTAACCGTTAAAACAGTTAAAACAGTAGTATTGCCATAACGGCAAATTATTGACTTATCACTCTTGCTGGCTAACTGGTCGAGTTCAAAGATTACTTCCTTGTCGTGGAAATTAAATTCAAACCTTTTTTTTGAATTACTAGAAAAATTTTGTTTAGGGACACTTTCGCTCATATAAGCATAATTTTAACTGAGATAAATCTAGCAAGAGGCCGAAAATGAAAATTTTATTTGCTCGATAAAACTAATGGGACTGCTGCTCCCACCTTCTTTACTCATTAAACAAGGTTGACAAACTAATTGTCCTTTCTCATACAAGTCATAAGCATCTATTTTTTTACTGCCACACCGCTTACAACCCAGATAATTCCGCAAAAGTTTTAGTTACCGATAACTATTTTCTTGTTCCTTAACTTTTCGCTGATAAACTTGCTGGTAGTCTGAATATTCCTCTGCTCTTTTTTGCTCCATTTGATATTGACAAGAACTAACAAAAGGCTCAGCTTAACTTACCACAACTTTTTCTCTGTTTACACTTTCCACAATAAATACTCTTAAAAAGGTGTTTTTGCTTGCTCTGGTCTTTTAAGTTTGGGTTCATAGTTAGAAGGGTTTTTTCTAAGTCTCTTTTATACTCTCTTTTTTGGAAGGTTTTATTTAACCAACCCCTTTAAATTATTAATCTCCTACATTTCTAGGTTAATAATATTAGCAATTGGCTATTTATGAGGTAAAAGGAAAAAAGACTAGTTTATCTAATAAATTTTTGAACTTATTAGATAAGGGGAAAGACTAACTTTCCCCCTTTCCTTTATTAATTATTGCCTTTAGAAAGCACTTCTATTTGAGCCACTAAGTCATTCTCTTCAATTTGTTCTTTCTCATCATCACTTTCCATATCAACTGCTGTATGAAGCACTTTCTCTTTTTGTTTTTCTCGGCGGTGCTTTTTTTCTTCCTCTTCTCTTACTCAGCGGTAGAAAGCTTTACGATACTCAGTCACTTCTTTTTCTAATCCTCGGATTGCTTCTACAATTTTGTTTAACTTATTTCCTTTTCCACTATCCTCTTCGCCATCCCTTTCTTCCCACTTTTTTCTTAAATCTTCGGTAAGCGTTCCTCTCGCAACCTTCAATTCATCAATATCTATCTGTTCATTTCCATCCTCATCATATTCTTTTAAAAAGTTGTAAATTTCTTTATTTATAGCATTTTTCAAAATTAATGTCAGTTTTGATTAATTATTCATTTTTGTCTTTTTCCTTCTTAGTAAACTCA